TTAATTCAAGATAAATATGTAAGTAATTAGGTAAAAGTGTTTTCGTATCAATAAACTCTGGTTATGCGTTAACATGACTCTAAAAATGTGCCCTCTCAAGTATTGCAAGTCAATTATGGGTAAAAGTTGACAGTTCTGAAGATGTTGAGCATCTATGAAACGTGTTGAAGAAAGTTTTTAAGGGTCCACCACATTAAGGTAACGTTTCAAGCAGCTCGGTTACAGGTACAACTCCGTAACATGCGAATCCCTAAGAAAGATCCCCTTTTTGAAAGAACAACGCCAAAATATCCAACAATACGGGCAACGTCCCAAGCGGGAGGCAGTCAGTGACTGGCCACGTCGCAGAACACACTAAACAGCGCCATCGCACAGGTTATGCTTCGATAACTAATTGTATAAGGAGACGGATAGCAGTAAGGATGGAAAAATCGAGTGTTGAATGACTACTGAAGGAGAGGAAAGGAGAGAGGGAAAAGCATTCTCTACCCATTGAGAAGTCTAACACATCATGAGCGAGAGGAAGTATTGAAAGGCCAGAAGGTCAAAGATGTCAAAATATGCGCCTATTGAGAGCTAATTGATGTGTGTTTGCGTGTATGTACACGGACAGCCGAAAACCTGTCTGTTACCGGAAGAGGTGTGGCACGACTGAAGCAGGTTTCATGTCAGCCAGCATAGAAGAGAAGTCTGAGAGTCGTTGATACTCCTCATCAACTTTTTCCCCTATCCCCTCCGTTCTTGTTACTCCATCTCTCTCATCGTCCTCCTCCTCTGTGAAGGTGGGATTCGAGGCCTGGTGGTGGTGATTACTTCCGACACCTCCTGAATGAGCTGTAGGTGGCAAACGCAGTGGACAGGGCAGCATCTCGGGCATCACTGTCAAATGGGTTATCAATGCCTCTAGGGAGGGCCATTCCTTATCCAGACCCTGAAATTGGGAGTAAAAAATGGTGCATACAAAAGCCTCACCCAATTCCCTCCAATGTCATTCTCAGGTTTTAAAAATGCTTCCACCTTCCAATCCCGTTTAGCAGAGCTGTTAATCTCATCGCTTGGAGCACTGATTTTACTAAAATCATCTTAGTAGACAGCCTGTTTAATGCAAAACTATCGTAGAGCCGACCGAAAAAGTCGCACTCCAGGAATGCTTGATTCCTAATGCTCAAAATGAATGCAATAAGCTGCCCAACTTTATGAAGAATAATGTGGTAAAAATATGGGGAAAAAGTAGGATGAGATAAAGGCGTACATTCCCTTGGTAAATCAAGGTGACGTTTCATTTCCACGGGACGATTGGATGCAGTCGCAAAAACTGAGTGAGGGGATTAAACTAGTCTGAAATGCCGAGAATTTCAACTTTGGTAATATTTCAAGATAGGCTTTTCTGGGTAATTAAAAGCCAGTGCTTGAAAATGAGGAGGTTGTTGTGAGCATGCATGGGATATGTGGAGTCAATTACACATCTCAAATAAAAGGTCGGTGATCATTAGTACTTGACTTGCTTAAACCAAAACATTGAAACATGGAGTATCGCAATGCATCGGTCACTCCAGTTAGCCAGTATCTGCATAAAAACTTATTCATGGCATTACTTTGGTCATCTTTTAAGATGTGAAAAAATAAAGGGTGATACAGATTTAAACGTTACTGATATTCAACAGAAAAAAAGTTTACATCCCGTCAACACTTGATGTTCAGTTAAGGAGCTCTCCAAGAGGTTATTAAGATGGAGTTCGGAAAGTAGCATACGTTAATGCTTGCACATTTCAACGATGAATTTGAATGAGATTGGAGAGGCCTTTACAGTTCCCCAAGATTCGGTTTACAGGTGACCAAGTAGTCAATTTGTACTTCAATTGAATGCTAAAGTCAACCCCCTACCTCCACGTTCTTGACATCATTTGAAAAAGATTCAGGTGCAAAAAATGAAAGCTGAATTGAAAGCTAAATGCTTTGGCATTCAAAAAGTAAATTTTGTGTCAAAATAATTTCCTGACAAAACATATGGAGGGTCAATTGATTGCTTCAGCTTTATTTCTTCACAACATCAGTTCCATAAAAGTATGGAAAGCTGATGGCTGATTGTTCAGGAAGTGCACTGTTTCGTAAATATCGGATTGTGAATACCTTCTGACGAGGGAGTACTCCAAGTTTAACACATTTGTGCAGAAATTGAAAGAAAAGCAAAACGAGAAGGTGAGAACAAGCATACCTTGAGCTTGACGCCATGCTTAGAGTGTTGGATGAGGTAGTGGGTGATGCCGGCACAATTGACATGGGTCGGCACCCGCACCGAGAGGGCCCAACAACCCGGCTGGGTCACGCTATCGCGCACCAAGAAGCTCCCCGTCTGAAGGGCAAACAAAAGGCACTTATTGCATTTTTATTCTAAAATTACAAATTATGACCAAGTATGCCATATCGGATGGGATTCCTTACTGATTCAAAGAGTTATGCCACCATACTCCCTCCACTAAACACGAATGCTACAAGCATCAGAGTTATGCAACATCTCAACATTTCCGCCTTTACTCGGAATCGCTTAAATGTGACATGCATTTGTAATCCGATTCGGACAAATAGTTATGATAAGTCATGTTACAAACAGGTTACTTAATATTAAACCGACAAAACATTCCCATCGTCTGGGGATGACAATACTTCTTTTATTTATTTATTAACCAACTATAGAAATCGCAAATTGCATTTGTAAATGACAAGCACGACAAGTTTTGGTATGATTTGGTAGATTTATTTTGCCAACCCGCTAATGAAGGACGCCCGAGACTAAAGATCAT